ATGAGAGCAACTTTTGCATCTCATTTAGAAACCAAGGACCCAGAGTATGGAGGAAGAATGGAGAGGCACACACTACAAGATGCTTGAAGTCCGGTGTGAAGTTTCCACAGTCTGTGTTGATTTGGGGAGCCATGTCATCTGCTGGTGTTTGTCCACTGTGCTTCATTAAGTCCAGGGGCAACGCAGCCATCTACCAGGAGATTTGGGAGCACTTCATGCTTCCTTGTGAAGACGAGCTTTATGGGGATGCTGACTTCATTTTCCAGCAGGACTTGGCACCTGCCCACACTGCCAAAAGCACCAAAACCTGGTTCAATGACCGTGCTTGTTTGGCCAGCAAACTTGCCTGACCTTAACCCCATAGAGAATCTATGGGGCATTGCCAAGAGAAAAATGAGAGACATGAGACCGAACAATGCAGAAGAGCTGAAGGCCGCTATTGAAGCATGCTGGTCTTCCATAACACCTCAGCAGTGCCACAGGCTGATAGCTTCCATGCCATGCCGAATTGAGGCAGTAATTGCTGCAGAAGGGGCCTAAACCAAGTACTGAGTACATATGCATGTTTATACTTTTTCAGAGATCCGATATTGTTCTATGTACAATCCTTGTTTTATTTATTGCATGTAATATTCTAATTTTCTGAGATTGTGGATTTGGGGTTTTCATGAGCTGTAAGCCATAATCATCACAATTATGACAAATCGTGGCTTGAACTATCTTGCTTTGCATGTAATGAGTCTATCTCATATAGTAGTTTCACCTTTTAAGTTGCATTACTGAAATAAATGAACTTTTGCACGATATTCTAAATTTCGAGTTTCACCTGTAGGGTGTTACAGGAGCCATGATTAGGATAAATTCTTGTACTTGCACTCTCTGCTTTAAAAATGCATTCAATGGTTTTAATGAATAGATAACCAAATGCATGTTTTTGTGAAGTATTTTTTTTAGTTTGCCCGCAAATGCACATTTTTCTAGCGTTTAAACTTTGTTCTTGTTTTGCTGTATTTTTTTGTTCTTTTTTTCTACAGAGATGTGAGAGTTGCCTGAAGTTAGGTGCTACTGTTGGTTGCTGCCTTTCTTCATGCACAAGTAACTACCACTTCATGTGTTCAAGACATAAGAATTGCGTGTTTCTTGAGGATAAGAAGGTATACTGTCAAAGACACAGAGACTTAGTTAAAGGGGAGGTAAGTTCTATAATCATAAGGATGAATTTCTTCCTTTGAAAGAATTGTGAAATTGTTCACAGAATATTGTTATAACAGATAGAATGGCTTTTGAGGAAAAGTTGGCAGATGCTTTTTTAAAAAAATGAAATGAACAGGGTTGCTTATATTTGTAGGTGCACAGCACTATATTTTGCTGCTCTGCTTGTCTGACTTTGATTGCAGAATGTGTAGCCTTGTGCACATGTATGGTTTACACATTCTTACGTAAGACTTTAATCCCTTCGTAAACAGAACAGTCTGCGCGTTTTAAAACAAATTCTTCCTGCTGGTGATTGCACCCACTCTTCAATACATGTGAATCACCACAGTGAACATAGACTTCCAGGTGGACTCTCACCTTCTCGCATGGACCTGTATGTGGACACAGGTCAAACAAAGCATCTCCCTCATTAGTGGGCATAACACATAACTTGCTCCTCTGTGCACTCTTCCCCTTATGAATCACCACTGGACCTTCACAAATGGCACCCAATTTCAGTACAGCCAAATCTGTGGATAAACCTTGACAACCACAAAGTAGATCATAGTGCAGTAGGCTTCTTTAACTACTTCCTGCCTGACCTATAGTAATATGACGGCCGGGTGAACCTCTAGTCCTTCTGGGAGGGCATCATATGACGACCTTCCCAGATCGCGCATTGCGCGTGCCCGCAGGGCCGCACTGTGGCGAGATCTGTCATCGGCTGTGTACCTCGGACACGGACAATGACAGATCTGTGTATCGGCCCCGTTGCCAGTACCATGTGACCAATCACAGCAGCTCACATGACAGTTGTATACAATGGCAGGCTTCCTTTCCTGCCATCTATTGTATACAAGTGTGTCTAGCTGTGAATGGTGACAGTGATCACATGCACAGGCTGGGCCAGTCACATCCCATCTGTGTCTTGTGATTAGCCATGGCCAGTCACAGCTAATCACAACAAAAAAAGCTAAATGAATCGATTTCATTCAGTTAAATGCTTGCTTATAGCACAGAAATTCTTTCCTATAAGTAAATTGTGTAAAAAACAAAATACTGATCACTTCCCCAAAGTAGTACAATGTTACTATGGTAACATTATACTACTTTGGTCATAGTGTAATATGAAAAAAATTGAAAAAAAAAAATTATCAATATTTTGTTTTTTGGTATTGTCACCAGGCAGTGTCCCTGGTCACCGCTACACCAGTTATATGATGACGCTGTACTGCACTGGTGACAGTATGTAAAAAAAAAATTGCGCCAATTTTTTCAATTTCTCAACTTTCAGAAAAATTATGACATAAAAATTACAACTTCAAAAAAACTTACCATGTGTTAAGGTCCTACCTTTCCTCAGACCTTGTTCTGCCCCATGTGCTGGCATCCATCTTAGGTGTCTGCAAAGCATTGTGGGATCCTTTTATGCTTTCAGCCCTCTGTGGCTCCTCCCCGAGGAGGTGGCGGCTTATCACATATAAGTCTGCTGTTTGTGGCTGTCCATTGCATTGTGTCCTGTCTGGTGCACAACAGCAAGCTCCTGTTTAGCTACTCATTGCTTTCCTGGATACCGACTGGGCTTTGGCTAGGATACCGACTGGGCTTTGGCTAAGACTCCTCCTGGCTCCTGATCCCGGCTCTGGCGACCATTCTTCCTGGCTCCTGATCCCGGCTCTGGCGACGATTCTTCCTGGCTCTTGACCCCGGTTTTGGCTACGATTTCCACTGTTGGACTTGCATAGACTCTTGTCTTATTTTTTATATTAATAAACCTACCTTTAATTGCACCACCTTGTGTGTTTGGCTCCTCGCTCCCTGACACCATGCCTCTTATGAAATACGTCGGACTGTCTACTTTGCAAAAAGGGGTCATTTGGGGGATATCTGTACTGTTCTGACATTTTTGGGCCTCAAGAAATTGGATTGGCCGTCAGTAATTCAGGATTGATCAATTTTCAGATATATACCATAGTTTGTGAACTCTATAACTTTCCTACAGACTAAGTAATAAACACTGATTTGGGTTACTTCAACCAAAGACGTGTAGCAAAAGACATCTTGGCCTAAATTTATGAAGAACAATTATTTATTTGCAAACTTTTATAACAGAAACAAAGAAACTTATTTTTATTTTTTTGTTAATTTAGCAAAAAATAAAAACCCCAGTGGTGATTAAATACCACCAAAAGAAAGCTCTAGTTGTGTGAACAAAATAATAAAATTTTAGTGTTTCATGACCGCGCACTTGTCATTCAAAGTGTGAGAGCGCTGAAACTTTGAAAATTGGCCTGGGCAGGAATGGGTTAAAAGTGCCTGGTATTGAAGTGGTCAAAGGCATATATTTATTAAAGCATATGAACTCGCATGTTAATAGTGTTAAAAACGCATGAAACTGCGGTCAGAATCAAACAATGGAGAGCAGAACCCTGCCTGTTGGAACGATGTAGGAGCGCTGACGTCACCTGACTTCTCCCCACGCGTATCGTTACACACCACGTGACTTCATCAGAGGTATCTAATTATATATTATTTTTAACACTATTATCATGTGAGTTCATATGCTTTAATAAATATATGCCTTTTAAAGAAGCCTACTGCACTATGGTCTACTTTGTGGTTGTCGAGCTTTATCCACAGAGTTGTCTGTACTGAAATTGGGTTTCATTTGTAAAGGTCCAGTGGTGATTCATAAGGGGAAGAGGCCCACTAATAGGGGAGATGCTTTGTTTGACCTGTGTCCACATACAGTTCCATGCAAGGTGAGAGTCCACCTGGAAGTCTATGTTCACTGTGGTGATTCACATGTATTGAAGATTGGGTGCAATCACCAGAAGGAAGATTTTTCACTTATTTGGATTTTTTTTTTTTAAAGAATTGCATTTATTGTTATGTTTTATCATCTTTTGGGACTATCAGTCACATTTTTGTTTGTATATTTACATGTATTGATTTATGCTAGCAGCGCGACACTTTAATTTGTTTTAGTTTGTTTTTTATATTTACACAGATAACATGTGTTTGCAGCAGCTCATCTATTATTATTTTCATTATTTGGCAGTGCACGATTTTTCTTTTGCCTTTATTATTCACAGTCTGCAAGATTTGCCTGTGTGAGCAATAAAAATTTTTTTTTTACTTGTATGTAGAACTGTAGTGTCAAAACATAACTTAGTTTTGAATACCCCTTGGAGACGTCAGTTACTACATACAAAATCAGCTTTCTGTGTTCTTCAAATTGTGATATAGGTCCAAAGTCAATGTATTTGTTTTATTTTTAATTTTTTGAAGCTAAATAAAAGAAGTACCACCAGAAAGCTTGACCAAACATGCAGTGTCACCGTGTTGGTGAGTTAAGCAATATATTGGTTGGTTAATTGGCTTTCCACCAGATAATGCGTGGATGACAATAAAAGGGGAAATCAGACAGTGTAAGCTTCTTCCATGGTAGGGGCTGATGTAAGTGGTTTGTTATGTTCAACCTATTGCTATTGGACCAAATTTTCAATTTGTTCAGGCATGATGAACCACACGTAAAACTCATCTGCCAGACTATGTATTATTTAATGCAAAGGACTTGTAAATGTATAGGTTATAATATACATTCTTGACAATCCATAACTCTAGTATAAATGTTTATCAAAGTAAAATTTTGTAGAACAGATCAGAAGAAATGTGTGTTTTAGATAGATGCAGTCATGTTGTGCTTTTATAGTTTTTCCTTTTAATTAATTTTTTTTCTTCTTTTGCAGATTGTGTCTGACAACAGTTTTGAGGTTCTCAGAAGAGTTTTTGTTGACTTTGAAGGAATTAATCTGCGTAGAAAGTTTCTGAGTGGTTTAGAGCCAGAAAGCATACACATGATGATTGGTGAGGCTTTGGATTAAAATGGCAACTCCCAGATTTGCAGGGGATGCATGCAGTTAGATTTAGCGCTTCACTACACTTATGCAGTTAGATTGCATTAACAGTTATATAGGTGTTTGCAGATCCCTGGTAATATTATTTCCATCCAAAAAAAGGGCGATTGACTTCAGTACTGTATATGACTGTTGCTTTTGGATAATCTCTAGCATTGTTCCTTTATATTGTTAATCTGCTTTTATATCCTATGGTTCAGTTTCCTTAGCCTGGTTCCTGTCCTCATGGTTTTTTTTTTTTTTTTCTTTTTTTACAGGTTCCATGACAGTAGACTGCCTTGGAATTTTGAGTGACTTATCGGATTGCGAAGAGAAGCTCTTCCCAATTGGATATCAGTATGAATTTTTTTCTTTTCTTTTGTTTTGGAAATGCCTTTACTAAATAATCTTAATTGTTGTACTTTGACTAAATATTGAGTCATAGCACACATATCTGTGGCCTTTTTTAGTACTCTGAAGGCAGGCACCACAAAAGAGTAAACTCTTTAGTTTTGAGAATTTATAGCAGCTTCATATCTTGTATACACAAGTTTAATTTGTACATATTTTGTATATGTAAATATATGTTCTTTTTGGCTAGATGTTCGCGAGTCTACTGGAGTACAACAGATGCTCGAAAGCGCTGTGTGTATACTTGCAAGATTCTAGAGTGTAGGCCACCACCCTCTGAGCCTGACATTAATAGCACTGTGCATCATGAAGAGAACCGAACTATTGCTCACAGTCCTCCACTCCGTGATGTGCAGGGTAAGATTTGAGGACATACTTGGGCTTCAGTTTTAGCATGGTTTAAATACACACACACACACACACACACACGAAGCAGACAGGTCTCTTATAAGGAGTTATTACTCATTCTTCACAAAGACAAGGTCGTTTCTTGGCCAAGACCATCTTTTCTTCCTAAGTGGCATCAAACTTCTACATCAATGGGGACATAGTCCTTCCATCTTTGTGCCCTGCTCCAAAGCACCCAAAGGAAATTGCTCTTCCTTACCTGGATATAATCAGAGTCATACCTAACAGCAACAACTTCTGTCAGGAAGATGGACTTACTATTTGTCCTATGCTCAGGACCTTGCAGGGGTCATCCTGCATTAATGCCCACCATCACTTAATGGATAGGACAACTCATCGCTAGAGCTCACATTCTAAATTAAAAAAAAACTCCTCCTTTGCTTTTACATTCCCATTCCCACCAGGTTATTGGTTGTTTCCTGCACATTCTGGCACCAAGCCTCTGCGGCCCAGTTTTGTAATAGCCCAATCTGGTCTTTTTTTCAGTGGTTTACCAGGTAGATACCCAGTCTTTTTTGTGGATGCACCTTTCAGCCTCAAAGTTCTTAAAGCAGCACTCTGAAGTTGGGTTTTTTTGCTAGTGTCTAATCACCTAAAGTTTGTGAACTACACAGCCCTGGGTTCTGTTTGTTTTTTTTTTAGTTGTTTGTTTTTGCTGTGTGTGATCCCATTAGTGTTTTCTTGTTTGCTATGGCCCACACCTCAGTTGGATTCCTTTTGAATGCCCAAAAGGTTTTAAATCTTCCTATGTCTTTCAAAGGACTAGAGAGAAAATTTGACTTTTTTGTCCTCAGGGTAAAATAATTTTTCTTGAAGTCCATTGCGGGCATAGCTTTGTTACTATGCTAGTAAACTCAGACATGTTTGATAGAAGGGTTATCTTGAGCTGTTAATGCAATTTTTTAGTTTGCTAGTGTCCAGTACTCCTTTAGGCAGTACTATTACCTGACAATATTACTTCCTGTGTCTCCGGAATGGACTCCCAAGAAAAGCATTTTATGACGAGTAAAGAGAAAAATCCACATTTTACTGCTAAAATATAAATACTTTCATGTTCATAGTCTGATCACAGGTGAACTTAAAATGGATATATGGTGGATGACTCTTAACTTGCTGCATTCCAGGAATGAATTGGTTTTTAAATGGCTTACATTTTGAAAAGTCATGTATTGTGTGAATATTACAGTTAAAGCGGTATTGAACTCAATTTTGCTAAAAACACTGGCAGGCAGGGTTTTTATAACACAATACCCCAGTGATCTAAGGCCAGTGCAGCGTTGGAGTGCTCCAATTGTACAGCTATCATAATATCATAATATGCTAGTATGCCATGCATGCTTGTTTTTTGGTGGAGTTTAATACTGCTTTAATATAAACTGTTATTAGAGCTGTACTTTAAAAAGAAAAAAAAAACCTTATAATAGGTAGGTTCATACACCCTTTGTTACTGGTCAGTAATGGCACAGGATCTCAACTCAGCTGGCTGTCAAGTGTAGGTAATTTTTGTCATTCCTGAAAGTTAGCTTGTTCTAAAATATTTTTTTTTACCAGCGTTGTGTTAGATAGATCTGATAAATATTCACAATGATTATTAAGGTAGAATTATCGGCAAAATGTTTTTTTAATCAAGGATAGAGTAAGGGAGAGTGATAGCCCCTTTCAGATTTTTTCCCCATCTGTGTCCCATTGCAGAGATTTCCCTTCACTTCCTTTCCCATAGCCAAACAGGAAGTGGGAGGAAATCCCGGCAAATTAAGGAATTCCTTGGGGACCCCCAGGTCACCAGAACTTGTGTCCCCATTGAAAGATTTCTCCTCTATTACTTTTCTGGGACAACCCAAAGTTTGGGATTTTCTTTTACTTTCACCTTCAATGATAAAAGTAAACCGGTAACAAATTTGTGGCAGTTATACATCAGGCTATTGAGTTTTTACACTTGTGCTTTGGCTAAATTTAATCACTTATATAATATTGGTAATTATTATAACCACATTAACAGGATGATAGTTTCTATTCATTTACTCCTTTTTTCCCCAGAAGTAAATCTTCAGGAACCCAAATCGTCTGGTCTCCCTTCGCCAGGACCACCACCTTGTAATTCAGTTTCTTTGACTTCTTTTCGGACTCTTGGTAGGAGCAGAGTTCGCCACAGATATCCCCATAATCAGCGCTCTCCAGGACCTCGACCCCTTCCGTCAGCAGGTAATCTTTAAAGTGGTTGTCTGACGCAGTAGTTGATCATAGTCACTATTGATGTATTGGTATAGAATGATTTTTATGGGACAAAACTTTTGCACAATTTCAAGAATGCTATAATGCTACAAAACTACACACCTTTATTGACGTCAACAGCCATTAGTTATGACCTACTGGAAGTCCTTAAAGTGGTTGTGAAAGGTGTTTGTTTTACCTTAGAGTAACACTTTTGCTGAGAAAAAAACATTCCCCTCTGGTTGATCTATGTACATTGCAAAGATTTTAACAAACTTAGTTGCACATTCCCACCATTTGTTTTTCTGAAGAAATAGCTTTTTGTTTGTGTCCATGTGCAGAGTGAATCTGTATGGGAGTGACTTCATAATTATCTACCTTCTGCTGCACTTGCAGGGCTTTAATTAGGAAAACTGCAGGGTCTGCATCCTTTAAGACCTGATCAGGGGTGTGGAAACTGGGACTAAATCAGGGTTCCTGTCTACTTGTCTCTCATGACAATTTACTTGTCCTGATAAAAAACAAAAAGATACACCTCCCTGCTTGTCTCCATCACAGCACCTGGGGACTAGCAGGGAGGGGAGAGACTTTGCAGCGTGACAAGCACTGGCTGGGTGCTCATCAGGAAAGGGGAGTATCGAGCTATCCTAATGCTCAACAGAACCGCATGTGATGAGCGAGTAAATGAGGCGCCAACCCCAATGAGAGTGACTTCTGCTGAGCATTAGGATAGCTCTACACTCCCCTTTCCTGATGAGCACCCATTGGGCGCTCATCAGGAAAGGGTAATGTCGAGCTATCATAATGCTCAGCAGAAGCACGTGCTGAGAGCGAGTAAATAAGGCGATGAAAAGAAAAAACGTAATGCCTTCAGGTTACCCTTGCACAGGGAAGCACTTGGGTGCTCAGTACTAGCGTATACCGAGCAGCCAAATCAAGCTCCAGTGTAGCATGAGGATCTGTACCCCCTGCAGCAACTGCACATGTGTTGGAATGAGGGAAAACAAACCAAGCATCGAGCTAAAGCCAGAGAGGTACCTGAGGTCACTTAACTCCTTACATGCCAGACTACAACACAGGCATGGTGTGCTAAAGCTGCTGTGAAATCCAAACCCCCTTGTGTATTCCTGGGGATTAGCACTGTTAATAATGATGACCTGTGCCTATGTCCCCTCTCTGCTGTGTTGGTGCCCGAGCTTCTGAATGCTGACCACTAAAGTGCCTGTGTTGTAGTCAGATATGTAAGGAGTTGAGTGACAGCTCAGGTTGTTTTTCCTGACTCAGGCACAGATCTTCAATCTATGTGAAGCTGTGCATGCTGTGTAGCAGTGAAGGTGTTAAGAGTAGCGGGCCAGGTCTGGTGTGTGAAACTGTGCAGCAGTGAAGGGGTTAAGTGTATGGGTAGACCCCCGTGTGTGTGTGTGTATGTGTCTGTCTGTCTGTCTGCCTGCCTGCCTGCCTCTCCTGAGGGAATGGTCTCTTTGATCTCTGAAATTCCTTAAAGACTTATATTTGTCTTTCTCTAAATTTATTGTCACTTCTCATCTCCAGAGCATATAAAAATATTAACTATCTACTCAGATACACCACATTAACCTGTTGGAGGATGATTTGATTGTTTTCTGATTTCTTATCAGAAAAGCAACCAAGTTCAGAAGCTGTTCAGAGGAAGTGTGCTGAAGCATCAATCCTGGCACACTGATCAATAGAAGGAGGGGGGTGGGGAATGACAACAGGCAGCTCTTGGAGACTTTGCAAGTAGCAGACACAAACTCTCCGAAGCAGCCTGGCAGAGAGAACCAAGTAGTCACACTGACCATCACAAATACAGGGAAGGGGGAGGCAGAGGAGAGGAAGGGAAATGCAGCGATCATCATCACACTCAATTTCTTAAACACATCAGCTGCAAATGCTCATCCATGTCCAGTGCTGACAAGCCGGACTAAAGGTAGTAAGGTGCATGGCTCCCCGAGGCTAATCATCTCCTTGCCCGCAACAGGGCTAAATGTCAAAGAAAACCACCTGCCCGGCGCCCGGAACAGCATGTCCCGAGCGTCGGGCGATAGGAATTGCACATTCATGGACATGATTTCTTTTTGAGAGTATCTCACCAAAAATGTTGTTGGGGATGCCCAAAATATGGCTTGTATTTTAGTGCAGACTTCTGGGAAAATCAGTAAGCCAATCGCACAAGCAGGAAATAACATATCTGGGGGGCCATTGGCTCCTGCTGCTGTCAGTAAAAACTTGTGAGCAGAGAGTGGGGGACAGGGCCGAGCCGGGCTGTGTGTCTGAATTAACACAAACAGGCCAGCTTGGGAGCGAACATGAATGAGTGCTGACCATAGGAAGTGGCTTCCTATGATGAGCATTAGGGGGGCGCTGGCAGGGGACCCCAGAAGAGGAGGATCAGGGCTTGCACAGAGAAAGTAAGTATGACATGTTTTTTTTTTTTTTTTTTTTTAATATTATTATTATTATTGGGAAAAAAATTGAAGTTTTACAATCACTTTAATTTAATACCAGCAGAATATGGCTGCTTATGCTCTTTTCAATATGTTTGTGTTTTCTTTCAGGTAGCCCTGTTACACATGAAATTGTGACAGTTGGGGACCCTTTGCTTTCTTCTGGTTTTCGTAGCATAGGCTCATGTAGGCATAGTGTCTCTAAAATACCACAGCTTCAGAAGCCACGCTTGATTTCCCCCTCTAACACTGACACTACAAAGGCTAAACTACCTATAGCAGATACTGTTACTGTGACAGATCACAAATCTAACAATATGGAGTCGGACGGAGCCTCTTCAGCTCCTCTTCAGAACAGTTACACTCCAAACGGCCATGGAATTTCAATGGAAAAGGGGGATAAACAGATAGAAACACGGCAACCTAGCTCCTCAGACCTAATTGTAAAGGTCACAACTCCCAAAGTCGAAAAGGCAAAGTCAGCTGCTCACAGAAATTATGAACCCCTTATTAACCAAAGTCCTAAAACACACCAACCACAAGATATATCTATCCCTGATTTTACCATGGGCAGATCCAGTACTGGTAAAGATGCAGCATCATTTGTGTTACCTTCCAAAGCTACTTCTGTTTCACTACAAAATAAGGCAATAAAAAGGGAAAAGGATCAGCATGTAATTTTTTCTCTCACAGAGAAACCGGTATTCCTTGAAGAAAGCAAAGAAACTCGTATGCCTGTTTCAGTGACCAAAGAAAGACTGCCAAAGTCAAGAAGTCTGGTAATGGAAAATTCTCAAGAAAAATTTCCTGGTAAATCTGTTATTGACTCTGAACATTCAACAGGGGAGAGCCAAATTCAAGCAGATACTAATGGGAAACATTCAGTGGTAGAGGCTGTTGGTTTTAAAGGGCGTTCACACAACAAAATAGAGACCACTGTGCACAGTACAGTAACTTCAGAGTTAGATTCATCAAGTGGTGACTACTCAAGTTCTAGAAATTTAAACCAACAAGCATTGTCTCCTGGCAGGATTACAGAGCTTCCAGATGCTGTCAAGTCCCAAAATAGCCCTGAAGGTACAGTAGAACTAGGTACAAACCATACTAACTCCAACATGGACTCTGAGAATCAGGATGGCACTGCTTACCCACAGGACTCAAACATACTTCTTCAAGATGGAACTAAAACCCAAGAAGGCAGCTCATATAAAAGGCGTTATCCAAGGAGGAGTGCAAGAGCCCGCTCTAACATGTTCTTTGGATTAACACCCTTGTATGGTGTACGTTCTTATGGTGAGGAAGACCTTCCATTTTGCAGCAGCACTCCAGGAAAGAAACGCGGAAAAAGATCAGCTGAAGGTCAAGTGGACGGTGCTGATGATTTAAGTTCATCTGAAGAAGATGATGCTTATTACTACAACTTTTCTAGGACTGTAGTTTCTGCATCTGGTGATGAAAGACGAAGTGTGCGTTCCCTATTCAGAGATGAAGGAGACCGTCATAGGATAGCTCAACTTGATGGTGTTGATGATGGGACAGAAAGTGATGCCAGCATCAGTACCACCACAGGAAAATCTAGCCACCCTGGGAAAAGGGGAAATAAACAAAATGGCGCAGAAAAGCTGGCTGCAACAGAGGAACAGTTGGGAAAGGTTCATGCTGGAAAAGGCAGCAAGGCTTCTGACGCCAAAATGGACAGTTGTCATGCTGTGAAGCAGGATACATTAGAGCCACAGTTGAGCTTGGAAGCTTCACGACGAAGTCATGGTGGAGCCGACAAAAATATCTTGGACACATTTAATTCAGAGCTGCTGAAATCTGATTCTGACAATAACAATAGTGATGACTGTGGAAATATTCTTCCTATTGACATTATGGATTTTGTTCTGAAGAATACTCCATCCATGCAAGCATTAGGAGAAAGCCCAGAGTCCTCTTCCTCTGAATTATTAACACTGGGAGATGGTTTAGGATTAGATAACAACCGTGGGAAAGATATGGGCTTGTTTGAGGTATTCACACAGCAACTTCCATCATCAGAGCCAGTGGATGGTGCTGTGACTGCAGAGGAGCAATTTGAATTACCACTGGAGCTGCCTTCTGACCTTTCTGTGCTCACTACTCGTAGCCCAGCTCTTCCTAGCCAGAACCATAACAGATTAGGTGTAATCCCAGAATCCCAGTTGTCCCCAAATGAACGTTCCTTACTGTCCATGCCAGCATCAGAAACGAGCAGGAAGAGGGTGACTGTTACAGAAAAACCTGTGGCACCTGGTGAACGAGATTCATCTTTATTATCGCAGAGTGTAGAGAGGACAGCAGAGGGTCACATAACTGCAGAAAGATATATGCCAGGTCGTTTGGAACCAGAACATATTTCCAGCCCACCATGTGCACAGGTAGATCATACAGGGAATCAGGAACTAAGACGAAATAGTGGTACCCCAAATTTGCAAGTTCCAGTGTCACCCACTGTGCCAGTTCAAAGCCAAAAATACATTGCAAACAAATCGGAAAGTCCAGGCACATCTCAGATGTCCACTAGTGCTGTACAGAGCACCTCAGCTCACCTTAAATCTACAGCAGAAAAGTTAGTTGTTGTTAATCAGAACATGCAACCTTTGTATGTCTTACAGCCTTTGACTGGTACTGTTACACAAAAAATTCAGCTCACATCATCTGTACCTTCTGGCTCAAGTCGTCTTGATGGAGATGTACCAGTGTTAGGTTCTGCAGGAGGGGGACTAACCTTAGCCACTAATTTGAGCCCTTCAATAACCTCAACTTTTCCACCTGTCAGCAAAGGTCTTCTCCCAGTGCCTCACCACCCACACTTGCAATCATTTCCTGCAGCTCCACAAACTACATTCTTGCCTAGTCTCACTAATCAGCCTCCAGGTCTTCTTATTGGAGTTCAGCCCTCACCTGACCCCCAACTTCTAGTTTCAGAATCCAGTCAGAGAGCAGAATTGAGCCGCTCTTCAAATTCTCCATCTACTGGCATGAATAAGAAAAGACAGATTTCTCGCTTACATTCTAAGAAAAACAAAAAGTTGGCACCTTCTGTTAGCCCAGGATTGAGGCATGGTCCTGAAGTGATTTCTAATATGACACTTATTAACTTCTCTGCTCCGCAACTTGCTAGTAGTTTACCCACGCACCCTAATTTGATTGACCTTGGCAGCCTCGGAAATACAGGACCTCATCGCAATATTCCGAATATTATTAAGCGATCCAAGTCTGGAGTTATGTACTTTGACCAGACTCCGCTTCTTCCACAAAGTGGAGTACCATCAAATTCTGGTGAAACTGTGCCTGGTATTATTGGTTTGGATCCTGGGCAGCTTACCAGTAAAATGCCATCAATTGCTACTGGCTCACCAGTTCTAAATGTTGTCTCCATGCAGACTACTGCCACGGCTTCTCCAGTCACTGGTCATGTCACACTAACTAGTCCAGGAATTTTGGGTCCTTCAGAAATCGGATCAGTCAGTAACTTTTTAATAAAGACAAATCCACAGAGTTTGGGTATTCAGGACAATCATGTGACTCTCCCTCCAGGCTCTGGGATTTTTTCCCAGGGTCCTACTGCAGGGACTATGGCAACCACCTCTAGCATATGTGTGGTGCCCACATCCCATCCTGTGGGTATGACACTGGCCCAAACAGTGAATGATCCTGACTGCTTATTTCCAGTTGCTCATAACATGAACAGACTTATCAGGACTCCAATTCTTCCTGATCTCGCTGGCAATTCTGATCACAGGTCCTCTTCGGCGCAGCAACCACCTGACTCGGAGGGAAGGATAATCACAACAAACACCACTTCAACAGCTGCTGGCATGCTTAGAACAGCTGCAACAATCCAGAAGACAAAAAGCAAAGGAAAAAGGCAGACCACAGGTGTGGACAAGATAACTAAGAAAAAACTCAAGACTTCACACTCCAGGCAGAGCCCAGCTACAGTGCAGGATGAGAACCAAGGTAGCAAACAGTCTGGTTTGCTCTCCTCTGGGTATGTCATGTTTTTTTGCTTTTCCTTTTTAAACATTTGTCCATTCTCAAATTTTGTTTGTAATACCAATAATATATGGTCACTGACCTGGAGTTAAGAGGAAGGTCAACTCTGCCGGTGCCTCAAAAATTACTGAAGCAAATGGATAAGCATGAGAGCCGGGCAACTAGTATTTTTAAGAGAAATCAGCAGAGTCAGCCTTTATATTCCCTTAGTATCGTGTAGCACAGTATATTTTCAGTGAGCACAATTATTTAATGCCGATGATTTAAAGAAACCTTGTTACAGGACAATTAAAAACACAATCGTTCCACACACACTCACAAACACATCCATCACCTCACCTCAGACAACTTTGTCTGTCTTCATTAAAAATGACATCATGGAATGGTCACTACACTGGGAGTAATGGTCGAACTGAGAATTGTACAGTCACATGGGACATTATAACAGACGCAACCGAGGGGGATGCAGTTTCATAGAAGAGTTGGTGAGTGTATTCACTATGTTCAACGCACGGTCATGCTGGGGGAGTCACTTCCACGAGGTGTGTGTGTACCATCTTTCAGCTCACCATACATCCACAATCTTACCACAAAACATGCTGAACTTGCCTTGCACTATTGCCTATTGCTTACCCCCCTTGCTTATAGCCTCTTTGCGCAATATGATCTCCCAGTCCGATATATTATATATGCACTGCTGACTGCTCAACAGGACTGCTCACAACCATAGTTTACATGGACTGCAAGATGAGAAACTATTGACATGTGTGGAAGTACCTACATGCAGCTGTAGACCATTATTATTGATGACAAGCTGTCAGCTTGGACTTTAGAAGAGGGATCCTTCTAACTATGGAGTCATTGCTGCAATAAATATGAATCCATAGTGAATACAGTACCTTATGGCCACGTGCTAGACAGCTTGATAAGTGCACTCAGTTTATATAGTATATAATATCTCTGTTCCACAATGTGTTAGCCCAAGGGCATCCGTGGAAGATGGGTGAATTAGTAAACAATTCACAGTTCAGCCACGAGGAAGGCCGGCAGCCATTTTTTTTACCTCTGTTCTACATGTGAGTTCTTCTTACATTTCTTTTGCTGCAGAAATTGATTAATATAAATTCTACACTATTAGCACCCATTTGTCTCTGGCTTGTGACATGCGAGCCCCTAAGGTGGTCATTCAACTGCTGATGCCTTTGATCCGTTAATGCCTGGAGCTGTCCCCTGGAGCAGAGTG